TAAGTTTTAAAATAGCTAGCAAATAATTAAATATATTTTTTTTTTTTATAAATGAGTTTGATTTAATATTTCACTTTATACGTAGCGAAGCACGTACCTGGCCGCTAGTATTACATAGTTACATCCCGAGCTAATAAAAGGAAAGTAAGAAGGTAAAAAAAAATTGTAATCTCGTGTACTAAAGTTGAATAATAAATAAACTAAACTAAACTAAATGAAAAAAAATAATTAGATCAAATTAAGCATATACAACTTTTTCATACCAAGTATGAATAAATTCTCCAAAGGGCTAAAAAAAAGGGCTAGGGGCAATTTTAAATTTATGTGGCCAAAAACAGTATGTGGTAGCTAAATCTAGCTACCAAAGGGCTAAAACGGCAACACTGCTGGCGGCAGAGATTTGACCATTTTGCTTTCTGAATTATTTATATTTGCTTTCTGAATTATATTGTTCTTCTCATTGAAGGGGGTAGATATGTAATGGATATGTACATATGTACATTAGACTGCATCACCAAAAAAAGTTGCGGTTTTTCCGCCAGGATTACAAAATCTATTATATTTTAAGACGTCCACCAAAATATTTCGCAAAAATATTAAGATTTAAGTGAGCTGGACCGATTTGAAAATACCTCCAAAAATGGAGTTTTTTATGAATAAAAATAGTTGCTTAAAGAAGTTTTTGAAAAAAGTCCCCTCAGATGACAAAACAGATTAAACTTAAAAAATCGGCATACAAATATTTAAAAATCTTTTCAACGGAATCGTAAGAATGAGATTTTTGATGCTGTTTTTTTACTTTTTTTTTTGATTTACGAAAAACTTGAATAACTGGGCCAAAACTATTCTGATTTAGACTTATGGGATCTCAGTAGAAAAGTATTTTCATACTGTTTTTATTTCTGTGCGAAAAAAAGTCATTCGGTTCCCATTTTTTTTTTTTCAAACACCAACACATCTTAATTCAACTTCGAATGACGTTCGCTCATCCTACCTTTCTCTTGCATCCTTTGAATGAGTTTATTAGCAAACAAATAGAAAGGGTGAGAAAATACCTTTCCAATGACACCTTTTAAGTCTAAATCGGAAGACTTAAGGTTCAGTTATTCAAGTTTTTCTTATACCAATCTTTGAAAAAAGTAAGAAAACAGCATCAAAAATCTCATCATTACGATTCCGCTCAAATTTTTTTTTAATTTTTTTAAATATTTTGTATGTAAATTTTTTAAGCTTGAACCGTTTTGTCATTTGAGGGAGTTAAAAAAAATCTTTAAGAAACAATTTTTATTCATAAAAAACTCCATTTTTGGAGGTATTTTCAAATCGTTCCAGCTTACTTAAATCTTAATATTTTTCCGAAATATTTTGGTGGACGTCTTAAAATATAATAGATTTTATAATTCCAATGGAAAAATAGTACTGATTTTTTTTTGTATGGGGAGTGATGCAGTCTAATGTACATACATATATGTGTACATTGGGGTGACCCTTAACCATATGGCACAATTTTAAATTTAATTTTTGTTAGGTCGCTCCCCCAGATTGGTGAATATTCATGAAAAAATGTGTTATCCAAAATTTTAGGTCAATCGGATAAAGTTAAAGCGTGCCGGCCGCCCCCCAAAAATTTAATATAAGTGCTCTTTTGCTTAACGTCTTAATTTAGTTTTTCATATTTTTAAAGGTATTTATTGAGAAATAAAATAATGTGAGCAAAGATTATACTCTTTCAGCCTGTTTGATTGGATAGGCTTGGCAGCCACCTTTTTGAGCAATTAAAATTTGTCCAATGTTTTCTTTTAAGTGAAACTGTGGCTGCCATTGTTTGAATCATACAAGAAAAATGCAAACTATCTTTAAATTGGATTTCAAAGTTAAAGCCTTACAGCTATCCCTAATTAGCGCGTGGATATTTGAAATAATAAAAAAGTAACCGAATTGCGCTTTTTTGTTTTTGGTTATTAGTTTTAAAGGTGCAGTACGCAAAAACTATATTTAAAAATAATTGTATATCGAAATGAATTTGCCTTATCGTTAGAGAAACAAATCAGCTGGGCCAAATTGGTATTTTACACCGACTTCCAAAAAAGGAAGAGGTTATCGGTTCGTCGGAATATTTTTTTTTTAATGTATGTTACCGCATAACTTTGGACCACGTCAACCGATTTCGATAATTCTCTTTGCATCGGAAAGATAGTGTCTCAGAGGTAGTCCCATACTAATCTGGTTAAGATCCGATCATTGGATCATGAAATATATATAGATATATATATATATTTTTTAGGCCGGTTTTTTTTTGCTAAAAATTACTTGTTATTGTATCCATATATATATTATCTATATATATGTATATATGAGGCGTTCCATACCACAACGGGCGGGGTTAACACTTCATTTGTTTGATTTGTTTAAAATTTTTAGGGTTGATGTATAAACATAAATAATAAATAAATATGAAATTTGAGCTTGATTAATACATTTATAAAAACTTTGCAGCACAAAAACAAAAACCAATCGATTTAATAATTTTCCATTCACTTTTTAAGTAAACGCTATTATTGATACCGACGGATGCACTGCGTTGCCTCTTGTGAACTGTATTGCCAACATAATCAGCTGTGCTTATATGTGTGAAGGATTTTTGTTAACGTTGGTGAAATTTATTGCAAATATTAAATGGATTCTGTGGCTTTTTTTATTGATTTCGATGAAAACACCAAGGAAAGTCAGGGATAATGTTGTGAATGTATTCGAGTTGCCGGATGAGGTGTGAGTAAATTTATTGAAGTCTTTATTTCATTTTAACTTGTGAGTTCCTTATACAGATTTGTAAAACAGTTCCGGCTTAACAAGTTAGCATTCAAGTACGTTTTGGAAATATTAATGCAGAAATTGCCTCCAGTTCGAAGATCATGTTCCATAACACCAGAGCTTAAATTAGAAGTCTGTTTAAGGTTTTTAGCTGAAGGGGGCTATCAGAATGGTACTGGCCAAGATTTTAATATTGGCATGGCACAATGCACAGTCTCTGTAGTACTCTCTGATGTACTAAACATCTTAGAAGCAACTTTATCTCCCAGATGGATTACTTTAGCAATGACGGACAATGAAAAACTTGAAGCGAAAAGATATTTTTTCGAAAAAACTAGAATTCCTTGTCATGTATGTAGACGGTACTCACATTAAAATTCTTAAACCAGCTGCAGGCAATGCACACCTTTATTATAATCGGAAAGGATATTACAGTGTTAATGCAATGATAGTAATAACTAAATGAGTTTGAACTTCTTCAATTTATTATTTATTTATATTCTTTTATTTTGCATTTTCAGATATGTGACCATAAGCAAAGAATAAGGTATGTGAACAGTAGGTATGCAGGTGCAAGTCACGATTCTTTTATTTGGGAAAATAGTGATGCTTCCACCTACTTCCAAGCGCAGTATGAAAATGGAGACAGAAGCACAAGACTGCTAGGTACAAAAAAATAACGAATAATCAAAGTGCGTATTTTAACTGTAATGATCTTCCATAGGTGACTCTGGATATCCACTGTTACCCTGGCATATAACACCCTTTCGAAGTGCAGGCGTTGATAGTCCAGAAAGCAGATTTAATAAAAGCCATAGTAAAGGCCGTAATATTGTTGAACGGACCATAGGCGTTTGGAAGAACTGGTGCCGATTAGAGATGGGCGCGGGACCAAATATTTAATCCCGATCCCGCCCATCCCGAAATTCAATTTTTAAGTCCCGAACCCGCCCATCCCGGTGGTTTTCAGAATTGTACCGCGGGTCCCGTGGGTCCCGATATCTATCTCTAAAGCAGGCTGCAAACGGACAACTCATTGAAACGATCGGTTGAGATTTCAACGTGTGACAAAAATGTTCATGTCTTTCAAATTAATTTTTAATAATAAAAATAATAATGAAAGATCTGGCATCTTCCGATTATTTTGTTTTGCTTTGCTGTTCGTTTTCCTCTCAATAAAACATTAGAAGAGCATATTTCAAACATCGTTTTTAAGGAAGATTTTGTGAATTTGCGGGGGTTGCGGTTTTATCGGGAGTGTCGGGAAAGGATTTTGGTCCCGTCCCGCCCGCCATATTTTTACAGATCTTCCCGATACCGCCCATCCCGGCCAATTTTAAATGAGTACCGTGGGTCCCGCGGGTCCCGCTATCCCGCGCCCGTCTCGAGTGCCGATGTCTCCTTTCTGCTCGCCAACTACATTATGCTCCTGAGAAAGTGGTTCAAATTGTAAACGTTGCGGCAGCACTTCACAACATTCGGATACATTATAATATTTCCGACGAATACCAAGAGGAAGTCTACGAACCCGATGAATATGTAGGCGAACCTGTACAACCTCAACGATATACAAATGAATCAACTAAAATTCGCAATGAGATGTTACGTAGCTTTTTGTAAAATAAAACTATTTATTATCACAAAATTCATTTTCATACATATTTCTTAATATTTAAGTAAAAAGCCTTCCTGGCAAAGTGTTGCACAAAGTTGTCTACACACTAAGGATGTAGATAAAAAATAAAATCATATCACTTCATTGATTTACATACACAGTATTTTCAAAAAACAGAAAAAAACTTAAATAATAAAGCCCTCCTGTTCAGAAAGTATTCAGGCACTACAGTTATAAAAAAAAAATCCAATATAAAATATAAACAAATCTCATAAAAAAATTGTCAGGGGCCACTTATTTTAAGAATTAAGGTGTCTGTTGACGTTATTTAACTCAATATTTAAAAGTTCCCTTTTTAATCTTAATTTTTCTATAGCAGCCTTTTCCATCACAGCGCCTAGCCTCTCTACTGATCTATTCAGTCTTTTTAAATGGTCCCTCATGTGTTGAAAATATTCCTGTTGGTTCTCAACAGCCTCAGACACTTTTTCGTACAGTCTTTCTTGAACCCCTATTTGCTTCTCTAATAAATCGAATTGCTCGGGTCTCCTTTTTCTTCTTTGGTTAGAAATATTTTGATCATTCTCAATATTTACGTCTTCGTGAGCTTCAATACCATCGTAATCTCTCCGAGTAGGTGGAGAAGTGTCCTCAGATATTCTCTCCTGCGGTACATCTCTCGTAGCAGAAGCTCTCATCTGTGGAACATTTCATGTAGATGGAACTGCGTCATCATAATTTCTCCCCTGTGGCACTCCAAACTGTTTGGAGTTTCTAATACCACCAACGCAATCATTAAGACACAGAAGGGTAGCAACTTCTTCCATAGATGTTAAGGGAATTTCCCTATTTTCTCCTCCACCAGTAGCATGTAGCTCTCTTTTGTTATGCGCGAGCTTCTTCTTTATCGCCGATTTATAGTCCGACCAAACCTGTGGTTCAAACTTAGTGAATAATATATTTTAGCTTTTCAACATTTCGCAAACCTTTTTCCATTCGGCAATGGTTTTTGATGGCGGTCCAATCGAATTCAACTCCTCTCGCACACTTTCCAAAAATCTTTCTACCAAATCAGGTGCATTTTTAGTAAAATTTTTTGCTATTTATGTCCGGATGCTCCTTCATTTTGGAAACTAAACATTTAAATTGCTGCCTGGTCGTTGTACGCTTCCTAAAACACATAAGTTTGTGTTTTTTTACAATATTACAATATTAAAGGGACAAATAATTGTGATTTTTCTTACATTTTATTGCTATCCATCTCATCGTTTTTAGTATCCGGAGCACAATGGCGCGTGAATGACAGATAGAGGAATTTGTACGAATCACGGATCGGATGCGTTTTCAATGATGCCACTTTTTTATTTCATTCGCAAACTGCATTAACCTCTTTTGACTCATCCGCAAACTGCATTATCGAGCGTTTTCGATAATACCAAACTCTGTCAAAAGTGAGTAAAACTCCCTCTGCAACCATCTGTCGGATACCATAATATGCATGAATATAAATTCAACACTCTATGTCTTAATACTGGGGGATTGTGTGCCAGCTAGGGATGCGTATCGCCAATGAAAATTCGGTATATCGGTATCGCGTTATTCTAAATTCGCAATATCCGATACCAATATATCTAGTAAAATAATATCGATATATTGAATATCTGAAATATCGAAAACGAAATGGTTAACATAGATATATTTTTTTTGCGCACCACGTATATTCGTAATTAAAAGGCAATAAGCATAAATTCAAATAACGAAGTTATTTTGGATAAGATGCACTTTAATGAGTTTGAAGAATCAGTAACCTGAGTTCAGCAACTTTGATTTACCCCTCCTCACAAGCAAGTCTAATACTTTCAAAGAGACACACCTCTTCATATGTACATATATATGTATTTCTAAATGGGAAGCACAAATAGTACCGTTCAATTGGTTTTCCAGAGGACCTCAAAACACAGAATTTTTAAGTTTTTTTTTCGGTATACAAAATTTCATTATCAGTTGAATCTGCTGAAGAAATGCCATACAGCAGCTCTGGGTTGTCTTGGTTAGCATATACCACTTTTATGCAGGAAGTATTTTGCTTTTGCTGTAGATTTACTTGAAGAAATAAATTTACGAGCATTTATTTCTTGAAAATTGCAAACTGATTTAAGAAATTTTGATATTTTTATGAATTTTTGTTCTTCATGGTTACTACGCCAAAAGCTGTTTTGCGAGAACGAACACATTTTCCAACATGTACTCAATTTTATTTTCAATTCAGAAGCCTAGAGAACGTAGAGAAAACTTTCCGATATTTTAAATATCGGAAGAAAATATTGTATCGATATCATATCGCAACACCTGATATCGTTACAAATTAACCGATATGTTGAACAACGGTTGTTATATTCAATGACAACAACAGTGCAAACAATTTTAATGCAGGGTGCCGTAATTGTATTGCATTTCCTTCTACCGATTGGGCAACTAAGTGAAAGGTACAGGAATCGCGAAATAAAGATTTTAAAGCATATCGTGAACGTTTTAGAAGAAAAAACTTCAAGGCACGGTAAACTTGAGATGTGTTTCACTGTCTACTTGATTCTTCCGATCCTCTTATTACAGGCCTTTACAAACAGTCAGAAAAAAAAATCATTTGATCCAGAAGTAATAGACGTGCTTTTAGAAGAGAATTTCGGACATACAGAAACTGAATCTGATGCTTCTGATGGGGAATTAAACTTTTATCATGCACTATGCCGTTTTCTCATTGTTTCTATCTTAAGTTATCTTTATGGCCCGTTAGCATCATTATAATTATCAAAGTACAATGATTTTATTTTTCAGAGTTAAGAACACGAAGTAAATGAATAAATGGAGAGAGTGGAGCATGCGGATGATCTATTTGTATTATTTTTCACCAAATACACATTTTTCAAAAAACAAAATACTTTTTTAAACGGTGTTAGTACACAAAATAATGGAATAATTTTATAAAAATTATATTATATTTGCCTTTTGTATATGTCTACATCATTTTCAGGGGAAAACCGGTTAAAGACTTTTGAGCATCAAGAAAAAATTAATTCCATTGCAATGTACATAAATAAATAAGCAAATTCTACATTTGAGCAATACCTCTTGTATGCGCGTAAACTCGCCAAAATTTAGTCTTAACTCAATACGAAAACATACATATTTCAAGTAAATATATTTGCGTTGTAACAACTTATAACTTGTATCGTTATTGTATTGTTTATAAATAAATATGTACTATTAAAACCATTAACAACTAACGATCGACACGCCTCAACTTTCACCAATTGACCTGAAATTTTGAATAACACATTTTTTTCATGAATATTCACCAATCTAGGGGGTGTGACCTAACAAAATCCGATAAATTAAAATAAAGGCCACCCTAGTGTACATACATCGAGCGTTATTTTTTTTTTTATTAATCCCAACGGTTTTTAAACCGACACGAAGGGCGCAGTCCGCATAACGTATAGAACCTTTTGTTTTTGTTTTTTGGTGCCGAGTCGTGGAAACAGGAGTTTGTTAAGTGACGAGATCTAAAACTGTTCAGCTACAGAATCAAATTCATCAGCTGATTGGATATGCTAAAGACATTATTTCAATTATTGAGAGTGGAAATGATAGTTCCACTGCTGCGTGCTGGAATGAGAGTTAAAATCTTGACATAAACAACGGAATGATTCGTTTAGTTCAAAATTAGTTTTGCATGGCTTCAAAAATAGAGGTCGAAAGTGTCTTGACACTTGAGAGGGAACATTAGAATTTACCTCAGCCAGAAGGGCCGGGCTATTAATCAAGCCTGTCATTAATTTTACGATAAATATTATACCTAACATTTCTATACGACTTGCGAGTGTAGTCAAATTTAAGAGCTTGAGAGAACTAGTGTAAGTGGGGACATTGTAGTCTGAATCCCAGTTAAAATCGCGCAATGCAAAAAACAAGAATTGTTTTTGAATTGATTCAATCCTTTCTGAATGAATAGCGGGGATTCCAAACAATAGATCCGTATTCTAGTATAGGTCTTAATAAAGTGGTAAAATAGCCTTTGTAACATAAGGATCTTTGAACTCTTTTGACTGTAACATCAATATGAAATTGAGTTTGGAATCCATTGTGATAACAAAATGGACAAAATTGGATACCTGCTCCAGATTTTAATTTGATATTGAATAAACAGCTGGTTGAATAGCCCTTCGAGAGAAACACATAACTTTACATTTTTAAGGTTTAGTGCCAAATAGTTTGCACTACACCAACTATCCACGTTGCTTAGATCCGCTTGTAACAAATACCTTTCTTGGATAGGGGACAATGATTTAAAAAGTTTCACATCATCGGCATACATTAAAACTTTTGAATATTTTATTATAGAAGCAATATCATTAATGAATGATGAGGAACAGAATCGGACCAAGGTGGCTTCCCTAAGGAACTCCTGAAGAAAGTTTAATGATGTTGGAAGAACAATTTTTAAAAATAACTCCTTGTATTCTATCAGAGAGGTAAGAAGAGATCCATTGAAGAAGACTGGCCTGAAAGCCGATTAGGTCGAGTTTACGGATGAGTTACGAGTGACATACTTTGTAAAAATCTTTACTGAAATCGGTGTATATTGCTTCGGTATGAAAATTTTCTCTAAAACCGTTTGAGAAATGAGTTGTAAGCTCCAATAAATTAATGATAGTAGATTTTCCTTTAGAAAACCCGTGCTGAGATTGTGAAATTGAATAAGATATAGAATATGTCATCTGATTAACATTAATGGCTCGAATAATTTGGGGAAGGCGGAGAGCTTCGCTATGCCTCGATAGTTTTCTATAGAAGACCTGCTACCATTTTTGTGAAGTGGTATTATGAAAGATTCCTTCTAAGCTTACGGAAAAACTCCATGTTTTAGTGGCAAGTTGAATAGAGTTGCTAAAGGTTCATAGATATTCTCAGCGCAGTTTTTAAGGAAACAGGTCGAGATATGATCAGGCGCAGGCCTAAATAACGCTTTTAAGGTTTTTCAATAGTGTTAAACTTCATCGGAAGAAATTGCTCTAATAAAAGCTGAGTTAATCGTACAAAGTTCATACGGATAGTCTCCACTCGTATAGGAGTCTACCGAATAATTGGACCTAAAGAACTGGGCAAACATGTTGGCAATAAGTTGGCTGTCGCTAGACACAGTATTGCGATAGTGCATAGCGGACGGAAATCCATGTACCTTACGCTTTGAATTTACGAAACCATAAAATGATTTAGGATTGTTAATTAAATTCTTTTTAATTTAACATAAACATGACTTATAACATTTCCTATTTAGTGCAAAGTAGCAATGCCGCAAAACCGAGTACTTTATGTAATCGCCGTGTAAGCCCGTTCTTTTATACAGTTTAAAAGAACTTTTAAAGTTCTTTGTTAATTTTTCTGAAATTAGCTTTCGCAAAAACATATCTAGTAATTGAACTATACAACTTATTGCTATGTATTTCATTTATGGTTTAACTCAAAACAATCATCGAATCAGAAGCCGTAAGCATTGCAGTTACGGACTCAAGTAAAGAAACTAGCTGTGTACGTACTGATATGGCAGAATTAGGAGGGATGTAGCAAAGAGTTAAATAAACATAACTATTACCAGCCTGTACACGTACACATTTAAGTTCGGTATATTCAATGACAGGAACACTAGCTTCCTCGGATGGTATCGACGAATGCACCTTAAAACAAGTAAGAAAGTCTAAGTTCGGGCGGAGCCGAACATTAAATACCCGGCGCAAGTATTAAATATATGTCTTCCTCCTTTCCGAAAGCTACCGCTACATCATAAGCCGGGGTGTATATATTTTAAGAAAATCAGCGTCCTTAAATTTCGAAATATTGAAATTTCAAGCATTTCTGAAATTTACCGTTATATGAAAATCGGCCTCAATTTTAGTCCGATTTCAACAATTTTCAACGGTTTGCTTTTATGTGGCAAGCACAATAACCATACCGAGCTTGGTACAAATTGCTAGAACGGTTAGCG